GGAACTGGAATCGGACCAGAGTCAGACACGTCTCCGAGGGGCCAAACGAAATCAGTGGGAGTGGGACTGGTCAAGTCCGCATCACTCCCACTGATCAGGCTTGCTTACCGTCTGATCAGTGGGATTGATGCCCTTGGCCTTGACACCGCGTGACGCCGGAGATCAAGCAAAGCGCTGCGCAGCAGGCCTCCGCGGCAGCGTGGGGTCCGGGGCGAAGCCCTGGTCGGGGTCCGGGGTGGAAAACCCCGCTTATCCTGGTGTCTAAGATTTCTTTGATTTCCCATTCAGGGACTCCGTCCTCTAGTTTGGGGGGCAGTTCATCATAACCAGGTGGTCCATTGAAGGGGTCATCCTTAGCGGGCTCAAGCTTAACAACGGGGAAGACCGGGTGAATCTTGGAGTAGCACGGGGGAAGGTCTAGCTTGTAGGCGCCCTTGCTAACCTCTGCGAGTACCTTGAATGGCCCAAGGCGCTTATGCGACAACTTCTCGGAGGGCCCAGTCGTTCTAATGTCAGAGGCGTCGAGCCAAACCTTGTCACCGACTTGGATACTTGGGGCGTCCGAACGTCTCTGGTCATAGTACCATTTATACTCATCCTTGGCTTTAACGAGCATGGCCTTTGCCTCGGAGACACCGTTTGCTATCCGATCGCAAAACTTGTTTACTGACTCCAGCTCAGAGCGGACACCTGGTTCGAAACCCATTTGGGGGAGCCGACCAGTGTCTGTCATGAAGGGTAACTGTTGAGTGGGGGAGTGATTCAGCAGCAGCAGTGTGACACGTGACATTCAAAAATGAGTAAAATACTACAGTATGTTTTACTCCCCTGATGTGTCACAAAATCATACTGTGGAGCAGATTAGTTTTGCAGATAGTAAGGAGTCTAATCTATGATCATTGATTACTACTACTAGACAGGGCTGGGGCTACGCCCCAGCTTTGAACTTGAATGTTGCTTGAATAACATGAATTCTGAATTAAGAACATTGCCACAATGCTACTAACTACAGAATGGCACACAGATCAGGATGCCCAATGGCTTTCTTGAATATCTGTTGCTAGTATATGTCAATTGAATACAACCCAAGTCACAAAACTCAATTGAATACAACCCAAGTCACAAAACTTTGTGTACTTATTTCTCGATTTGTGGGTAATTTGAGAATATTTACTTGTATATAACCTTAGATACACCTTGTTCACAGTACTGGGTGCAGGATATCACTTACAGCTTTGCGTCCCAATTAGGATTGGTCACATTTTACAGCTTTTCTTACCAAAATAGGACTTTAACAGCAGTAAACCCAAAAATGGAATTGTGGAGCAAATCAATTGTTAAAGGCAATGCCAAACATGTGCATACATTCACACAACATCTGCTTAATATAAGAGTAATGCATCCTAAAATAGCTTTCAACAATTGCCATAGTCTAGTATGTAATTGGTTTTCCTAGTGGTATCAGGAAGGACGGATGCGCGGTGATGTAAGGGCAACCCCCTGAGGCCTGAGATCAAGGTGGTAGCAGGGGAGGATCCAAAGAGAAGAAACTCTGAGGGTCCGCCTGCTAGGTAGCTGACTATATATTGCTTGTCCGTAGCTGCCACTGTCGGGCACAGAAGACTTGGGCGGCGTTGCAGGCGAGGTCCCAGGGCGACCGTCGGGAGGATGTTGATGGATCGGTGATTGTGCGGGCGAGATGGAGGGCCGGACCGGAGTCGGAACTGGAATCGGACCAGAGTCAGACACGTCTCCGAGGGGCCGAAAGGGGGGGTTCCCCTGACAGGTGATGCGCGGTCCCGTATGTGATTGGCGCCATAGGGCTTGGTTTATATAGGGATTTTTGTAAACTGGTTTATAAACACCCCTGTTTTATTTGTTCCGGAAGAGTGCCTAAGTAGCAGCGTCCGCGTGACTGGTAGCCACGCTTTTATCTCCCTTCGTTCCCTTTGTACCCTTGGGTAGTGGTCAAGCTATTCGTCTGTTGGCACTCAAATAGGAGCGTGCGGCATGGTTTATCAGCACTGATTTCTGACAGGTTTTTTGTAGGCAACTGCACGGGTAAACCCATAGGTATCTGAGGCGTTACTCATACCCTTACCCGCACAGCCACCATACTATACCTTACCCGTGGGTAAGGGTACTGTACTATTTAGATCAAGTGTCCGCGTTACGCGTTACACGCGGTCGCGGCGCGGACACTTGTGGTCTCCGTTACGCGTTCAAGGCCGGATTCCCATCAAAAACAGGCCGAAAAAGGAAATTTTTCGGTCCGGCTGACGCCGGACTTGCCTTTTTTGGGAATCCGGACACCTTGTCCAGCGGACAGTGTCCGTTACGCATTACACGCGGCGGACACTTGATCTAAATAGTACAGTATGGGTTTACCCATAGGTCTTGAGTTATCAAAGTATTTCCTTTTTTGGGAGATAGAGCCCTAGCAGAGGCCCTATTGCTAGAGTGATAGGGCCAGTAAGCCCTGCAGAGTCTCAGGTACCCCAATAGGTCCCCTAGGGCCCTCACCGGGGCCTGTGAGGCTGTGACCATTTGAAATGTTCGATTAAATAATTACTGAAATTAATGATATTTCTGGAATCTCTGGCATTGCTGCCCAACGCCTAACTTCCACAGCCGCCCATCCGGAACACCATGATTTTTTTCGCGTCTACCTGTGCAGGAGTATATGTTGTCAGCTCCCAGTTTTGAACAGTCCAACGCACCCGCCGGTCACAACCTACAATCCACTGCTCGTCAAACATGGCCATGTCCACAACGGTCTGGAGCGCAGTGGGACCTCCTTGTGGCGCACAAGCGGCCCGGGGCCGCGATACCACATATGGCAACGACGTCTGCACTGGGTGTGCGAAGAGCCCCGCGCGGGACTTGCGGGTGGTGCGGTCCACATTCAACACCGTAAACTTGACCAGCGGTTGGACCCAGGTTGGCGCGTCATGCAGCACTGAGTCGGCGTGTTCTCCCTCTTCGTCTTCGTCTTCATCGCTGCCGCTGTCGCTGTCCGCTGTCAGAACTGTCTCCGCAGGAAGTACATCGTGCCACTGAAGACTTTTTGCTTTGGCCAGACTCGGAACTGGAACAGGATAGGCAGCGTTGGGGACGTTGAAGTCCAGCAGTTCGACCAAACGGCCGTTGATACTCCGCAGCAGCATCTGCTCGCCGTTCACGCTTCTACAACGCGAGCGTTAGTGAATCTAACCTGCCGCAGTGATTGCACGTACGCGTCTAGGTGTGAGCAGGCCCGGCGGCCGGCAAACATGCGCGTCGCCTGCGGGCCCCATTCGGCCCAGGGAATGTTCCGGGCCGGCGCACCGGCGTCCCACGCGGCGACCAACGCGAGTATCGTGCGGATGTGGAGCATCAGTCGGGCCATGCCGCCGGGCGTGTAGCAAATGGATACTTTTATGATGCGCCGGTCGTTCCCGCGGTAGTTGGGCGCGTCAGGAGCGGGGCGCCCCACGTATGGTCCGAACTCGATGACCATGAACCGGAGCACACATTCGGTTGTGGCAAGCGGAGGCAGATGCAAACTGGCGATGCAGACTGGCGCCACGGCCGGGCCGGGCCCGCCGGGAAGGATATCCGGAAGCCGGTATACGTTCAGGTACCCACTCTCCCCCTGCGGCCTGCGGCACGCCAGAAGCAGTGTGCGCGGCGTGAGCAGCTGACAATCTAGCACATAGCACTCTTCCTCGGCGAAGAGGTCCCACGAGAACAAGATGGTGCCCCGCCGCCAGTCTGCAGCCACAAGCCGCTGGCCGACGGACTCCGGATTGGACCAGCCAACAGCAAATTGGTATACCGTCACGACATCGCCCGCGACACGCACGCAATAATCTGAATTCTCGTCGTGTAACTCGCGCAGGCCGGGGAGAAGTACATGGGGTCGCTGGGCCGCAGGATGGTGCATTGATGGCAACGCCAAGGAATGGAAGGATAATGTGCCGTCACCAGCATGGGAAAGACGCAGCAGGACTAGGAGATCTTCGCCCACATCCATTGTAAAGTCTTCAGCATCGGCATAGGAGCCAATGTCGTGAACTTCCAGTGCTGCCTCTGGCACCGTGACGTGTGGCAGCTCTGCCAGCCGGAGCACGCTGAGCCGCCCCCCAAGAGTCTTGTCGTGCATGGCAAAGACACCCCCGTCAATGACCTTCGAGCGGCACTGTGACATGTCCTCCATCTCCACCACGTACTTTTCGCTCCACGTGAGCGTGCGCCACGCGGCCCGGCGCTCCCGGAGCCTGGCAAGGTTCTCCGCCGATGAGCGCCCGTGGCCGTTGCCAGCGAGCAGCCCGTCGCGCCACAGCTCCCGTATGTACTCCAGCGCGGGCGTCCCCATCACGAGGCCGTGCCAGCGGCGACACACGCGCGCGCAGGCGAAGAGCGCGCGCGGATGCAAACATCCCAGGACGACGATGAGGACCTCGGACGGCATCGTGTCCATGGTGGGCGTTTGGGACAAGCCAGGAAACAGTGTGACACACGCTACATGTACACGAGTTACGGACACTCGATCGGTGTGGCGTATTCATGAATCGGATCCGCTCAGACCGGAACGATGAAATGATTAGACTTCCGACACAGTAGTCACTTAAGCTACGGTCTTTCATCCTTGTCTGCAATGTGCGTAAGTTCGGAATTTTGACAAGATTAATGTATACGTAATAATGAAAGTTTCGCGCCGTAAGTACTTACCGCGTCGTCATCTGAGTCCGACTCCGTCAGTGTCGCCACTCGCTACTGGCAGGTAGGCAGCCTCAAGTTTACCACATCCCTTCACACCATGGGACCCAAGATTACAAATTTTAAAATTGTCAAATACCCTTGTTTCACTGGCAAGCCTATCAATACTCCTATAGCTAACCGCTCAACCGTCCCACCACTGAGCACTCACGCAACCGGCAGGGCACCGCAGGCCAGCACTAATCCACTCGCTAACCAAGATATTTCGCTAGCATCCACGCACTCTTAATATCGCTCTACTACCTCATTGCTCCTAGTCCTAACTTACTATTCTTGATCACCGCCTTCAACGGTACATGCAAGCCGTCGGCAGCCGCGCCAATTCGCTGGCCCTCCGACCAGCCCATCGACGCGAGCATCTTGAAGCCGAGGTTCGACTCCCCGATCTTGGGTGCGGCCTGCACCAAATAATATCAGCCACCACACATTTCCAGCCCGACATCCGACTGACCTTGCCAACCTCGTCTCCGTCCTTGTGTCGAGGCATCGCGGGTCCCTTGCCCTTATCCGCGCCCTGGACATTCACAAAGGACGCTCCTCTTGCCCCGCCCCGCCTGCAAATCCACCCGATCTTCTTCTCGTCTACCCTGATGCCCGTCCGTGTCGTCTTGGTCAGCGTCGTATACCGCGCCATGCCCTTCCCCTTACTGACGCTCTTGAGCCCGAACGCATTCGCGAGCTCGTGCACGCTCGCCCTGGTGGCCTTGTCCGTCGGCGGGAGGGACATGTTGGCCGGCCCGCCCAAATCCGCGACGAACCGCCGGATTTGTTGTACGAGTGTCGTGAGGTCGATAACCCGGTTCGGAAGAACGGTGATCGTGGGGTCAACCCGTGCCGCAGCGAGCATCGCCTTGCGCCCCTTCTTACCGCCCTTGTGTGCCGCCATCGGGTCGGCGGCGAGCTCGAGACGGGCCAGTGCCCGCCGTTGTTTGTTCTCCGCCTTCTTTGCGCGGTCGCGGTCCCAGATGTCCTGCAATTCGGCAGGGATGTCGTCGCGTTTCTTCTTTCCTCGTTCTAGAATGCAGTTAGTTATAAAGGCTCAACAGAATATGAGGACATACTGGCGGGCTTGAAATCGATGTCGTCAAAGTCAATATCACCGTTGACCGCAGCCTTGAATAGCGCTTTACGCCCGCGGGGAGACGAGGAGGCAAGTATATCGCCGTTCTCATCGAGAATCGCCTACATATCTCAATGAGCTTATGTTCTGACAGTAAAAACAAACCACACCTGGATTTCAGCCGCAAAGTCATCGTCCTTCTCTCGCCACGTCGGCTCCAAAAACTCATCGTCCTCGCTCTCGTCCCAGAACAGCTCTTCCATCTCCATGCTTTCCTCGTCCGCCTTTTGCTTCCCCTTCGCAGCTTGGCGAGCACGGTCGAGTTTCGTTTGGAATGCGGCTCGCGGACTTTGATCCAAATCTTCGGAGTAATCAGAGTCCGACATATCGTCTTCCTCCGACAGGCTGCTTTCGCCAACCATTGCCGCCTCTTCTGCACAGACAATGGGATCCTCGTCAGATTCGCTGCCCGAATCCTCTCCAGATTCCCCACTGACGAGTTCGCTCTCGTCTTCCTCCCGCATTTTGATTTCATCTTCCACATCGTCCATCGTAACCCACCGCCCGCCCTCCTGACTCAAAAGCCCGCGCGCAAACCGCGCCAAGGCGCTGGGATCCAAATCTGGGTCAACCAGCATGCCCGTGTCCTCGTCCGCGCCCTCATCCTCGTCAGAGTCTCCCCAATCGACATCCGAATCGCCTTTCCGCCGCTGGTTTTTGCGCGGGTCTTCCTCCCTCAGTCGTGCTTCTGCCAGAATGGCGGCGCTAGCGCCAAAGGCCCCCGCCCTCCGTTGTACGCGCTTCCCCAACCCCTGTGCCTGTATTTTAGCCTTCTTCCGGCCATGCGCTGTCAGTGCTGCCGTCGGCGGGGGCTTTCGCGGGCTTGAAGTGGAAGCCGTCGGCAACACGGAAAACGAGACGGAGGAGAAGGCCGGTGGTTCGATGCCGGTCAATACTGACGTTGCGGCAGTAGCAAGGTCGATAGCGCGAGATGATGGGGTTTCTGGAGAAGGCGTTCTGTCTAGCCTACTTGCTGTCCGTGGGTGCGGGGCAACGTAAACGATGATTTCCTCGTCTTCCTCTAGCTGGCTGGTTCTATGCCGGTCAAGTAGTTGGGAAAGCGAGGCCTCTGCGCCTGGCGGTGGTGCCTCGGCAGCGGTGATTGGTGTTGGGGAAGTATCGACGAAGAATAAAGGTGGCTCGGGGGAGGGAGGGGAATGAACATTTGAGGAGTCGGTGACTATTTGGGCGCTTCTTGAGTCGTCAAATGCTTGCTCCGATTCTCTGAGCGATGGCTCGCCAGGAACATCATTTCCAGCGGATGGAAAAGGTGGCTCGGGGGACGGAGGGGCAATCGTGGGTTCGTTATGAGTCAGAGACGACGATGATATGATGCTCGCGTCAATGATAGCTGGTTTGTTGATCCATATCCCGGTGAACTTCTCTTCCACGACTGCGACATCCTTTGCCGTAGTCAGAGGGACTCCTGCCGCTGCCGCCGCATCGACCTGGGCTTGAATCCTGCCAAGGTCAGAAAAGTCGATTTCCTCTAGTTGCTCTTCGTCGCCAGATAGATCCAGCAATGGTGGCAACGAGCCACTGAAAACCCGCGCCACGCGGTCTGCAGTGGGGACATGCTCGTTTTCGTCGTCTGGACGAGGTGAATATCATGTCGAAAACAGACGAGACCAACAACTCGCCTCCGACGTCCTCCACCAATGGTTGCATGAGTTCTTCATCATCTTCGTTTTCAAATAACGTCGTTGTATACACAGAGCGGACGAAGACGATGGGTTGGAGGTATGAGCTTGAGAGCAACGTGGAAAGCGGACCCTGGCGATTGTGTTTGCCAAAGCCACGTCCTCGCTGGGGAGAACCAATCCCGCGTCCTCGATAGCCGCGTTGGGACGGCGAAGATGAGGCGGAATGTGAGGGTAGCGGGACGCCAGTCGTATCTGCAAAGCATTGCGTCAGTCTTTGCTAGTGAGAGAACGACGGATGACGCACAGTCTGGGTACAGCTGGAGCATAGTGTTGCGCTCCACGGAGAGGTTATACTGGGGCCCTCCACGACTGCGACCACGCCCGTTACCGCCTCTTCCGATATTCACGGCTGGCCCGCCAGCAAAATCTGCTCCGCTCCCACCCCTTGCCGTTCCCGTTCCCCGTCCTGGTCCTCCGCCACCCGTGCCCCTTCCGCGCCCTCCTTTTCCTGAACCCCCTCTTTCCTGGCCTCCGCGCCCACCGCGCCCACCTCTCCCTCTCCCTCTACCCCTGCCACGTTGGTTGTGGTTCCGCCCACGATCCATGCGCGTAGATGTAAGCGTCCAAGTATGCCGCTGAGTTAGTAGGTCCACACCCACAGAGATATAAGCGCTGTTGGCTTGGCGGTCGCGCACGACTGTTATCGATTCCGCTAAATGTGGGGATTAGAAGGCGGAATACGAAGCGAGGGCGATAACACACTCGACTACTCGCTTTTTGACGCGAGGACGAGTAAGAGCGAGTCAGACGCGGGGCCGATGGAGCGTTGACGTTCGGAGAGAGATGAGCGGGACACCGGGATGGTGGTCGGAATCAGAAAGTGTCACGTCGGAGTCACCTTTTTTTTTTCGCGTGACAGCTTTTAGCACTCCTGCTATGCGTTCAGTGGTTGGCCCTAAATTGCACAACGTTGTGTGTGTGAGCTTGCCCAACCCGTGTACAAATCTTAAGATCCAGCCTAAGTAGTTAGATTTGAGCTTGATATTGGCTTGATAAGTAATGACTCACGCTCGGTCTTCCCTCGGCTAGCACGTCATTCGTGATTCTTCTTTTCCTTCTTCCACCACGGCACCTTGGGAGCCCGGCCCGCGACCACGGTGCAGCATGGATTGCGATATCATATAAAGGCAAGGCGAGACTGCCTTCGACCGCACCCCATGTCGAAACCCGAGCTCGTCTTTGTCCGTCCTCCCCTCTTTTTCGCCGCTCGGGCTTACGTGCTGTAGGTCACCGGCGCTTCTGGATTCCTCGGTGCCCACGTGGTGCACAAGCTCCTCGAGAAGGGATACCGTGTCCGCGCGTGCGTTATTCACCTCTTTCCCCCCTTTTCCCCTCATCTTCTTTGCCTAGGGCGGCCCGTGGAGCGAAAGCTGACCAGCTCAAGGCCAACTATGCCAACGCCGGCTACGACACCGACCGCTTCGACGTCGTCAAGATCACAGACATCGTCCACGACCAGTTTCCGGAGGCGTTGGCCGGTGTGCATGCGATATTCCACCTCGCCTCTCCGTTGCCGGGGAATCTTCCTGTGGAGGAAATGCTGAAGGTGTGTGCACTGTAGAGCCTACCTACGACTCTGCTTAACACTATGCAGATCGCTGTTGAAGGGACGCTTAACGTTGTGGTGCAAGGCGGGAAGGCAGGGGTCCGCCACGTCGTGGTCACCAGCTCAATTGCATCGGTGGCCAACCCGAGCAACAGCTTCACAGACAAAGGTACGCACATCCCGTTGTCCCTCTTGGACTGTCTCCCCTGACCGGCGCACAGACTGGAACCCTGTCACCCGCGAGCAGGCGCTTGCCGCAAATCAAGGCTTCCTGAGCTACCAAGCCTCGAAGAAGCTTGCAGAGCTAGCATTATGGGAGTGGGCGGAACAGAACCCTCAGGTCGAAGTGACGACGCGTGTGTTGATTGTGCATATTTTATTCTCCAGAGCCGCTGATTGTCGACTTGATAGTCAACCCGACGTTCTTCTATGGTCCATTTGCGCCTAACTCTATCCATCCTGCGCCAGGCGACTTCACCGGCATCTCGACTAACATCCTGCTTTACAACCTTCTCTTTCCAAATGGCGTATTCCCTCCCCGGACGCGCTACATCGATGTGCGGGACGTTGCTGCGGGACATGTCAGGGCACTAAATGGAGCGCCTACCGCAGAGGTGCGTATAACTCATTCCCTCGCAATTCTCCTTGAACGACTTGCCCTCGCAGGTTGGCCGCAAGCGCCTCATATTCTCATCGCCGACCGGCTGGCCGCTCCAGCAGACAGTCGACTACATCATATCGAACCGCCCGCATCTCAAAGACCGGCTGATCACTAAAACGCCCGCGAAGGAGCCGTGGGACGTGCTCCCGCTAGACTGGACCCGCTTAGAGCAGGTGTTGGGGATGAAAAAGGACGATTTCACGAGCACGGAGGCGGTGAGTGGGCTATTATTCCAGGGAGCTGGGACTAACTGCGTTCCATCAGACAACCCTGGACACCATAGACGCATTAGTGGAGCTGGAGAAGGAGTGGGTCAGCCAGGGCTGGGAGAAGAAGACACCGCCTTCTTTCTAAATCGCACGAAATACAAGGAAATCGCCTTCTTTCGTACACATGACAAATATATGGTGGTTTTCAAGTCATCGCACGCATCTGGGCGGCACCCACAATGGGCACCAGTCCGCTCCAGCGGTCCTTCACAAACACTGAATGCCAATAAGCAGACAGCCGTCAAGCAAGGAGCAACTCACGCTCAGTCGTAATCGGGATATCAGCAAAGTCGCTGAAGTTTCCTGTCTGGATGGCCTGCGCGTCGCCAAACGCGGGTGTCAGGTGGCTGATCGCACTTCCACAGTTGCTGCAGAACACGCGCGTCACTATGCGACGTCTCAGAGCACTCCTAAACAACTCATGGGGAACTCACCTGTATTCCCCGACGGTGCCTTGATATCGAACTCCTTGACGGGGCCACTGATTACCACGTCCTTCTTCGGCACAAGGATGTTGGTGCTGAACGCGCTGCCCGAGGTCTGGCGGCAGTCCGTGCAGTGGCAGACGATCTGCGAAGATGTGTTAGTCCCAAGGGGCGAACTTAAGCGTCAAAGGAAGGGTACCTGCACGGTAGATGTGAGCACGCCAAACGCACTCGAAGAGTAATGTGCGTACCTGTTCAGTATGCGTCGTCGCCAGGTCGATCGTCGTCTTCCCACACAGACACGATCCTTTATGAGGCATTCTTTGCGATTTGGGTTTGAGTCAAGTTTGCAAGCGGCTCGCTACCGTGAGCGGCATCCCCAACGCGTCTTATATCCAATTTCCGAACGTGGGGATGTGGGGCTGAATTGGATTCTAGGTGCGCATGTGACGGCGGCCAAGTTATTGTTAGCGTCTGGATGAATGATTAGCCCGCTCCGGCGGGTAGCCGCGCTTTTCTGTTCTCAGGGACGCCAAATAGAGTGGGGCCAAATGGAGGATGGGTGTGAAGTTGTAGTACACACATGAGTAGTAACCTGCCCCACGCAGGCGTGAGAACAAACGAGAAAGCTCAAGAGTTGGAATTGATGGAGTGTGACATGCCATCATTCGAACGTCACAGAGCTTCCAACGCTTGCAACTGCCGAGAACAACCGCAGGCGGACTGGAATTTTGGTATGACAAGGTGAAGGATGCCATAAATGATTTTTGTAGATGAAAAAGAGGGTCAAGAACAGCTACAATGAGCGGAAAACAGGGTTTTACTGCTTCTGAGGCTTCAGCTCGAAATGGGATCTTTCTGGCGGAAAAGAAGCATAAAGAACCGTGCATTCACGCAATAAAACAACTGAGCACTGTAGGACTCGAACCTACAACCTTTTGGTCGCAATCACGTGATCAGCTGATCACAGACTGAGGCATCGAAGCCAAACACGCTAACCATTGCGCCAAGCACCCATAACTGATGCGCAGTGTACCCCCCCACACCCGCAAAGCCTTTGGCCACTTGAGCACCATCGTTGCCGCTTCACATCCATTTTGTCATAAGTAGCATCAAAGAATAAAGCCAATCCGAATATTAAGGTTGTTAGTGTCATCTTGCATACTAGTAAGTCCCTTTATAGCGGCTATAAGCCCAACCTATTCAACTTCCTAGCTTTTCTCCCTTACACTAAATACAATGCCTAGACTGTCAATAAAAACTTACTATATTCACTAATAGCACCAACATACCTTTCCTTAATAGCAAGCATAATAGCAATAAAGGCCCTGCAGAGGATGAGAGTGAGGAGAATAATAATAATGCACAGCCTGCTAAGAAAGCAAAGAAAAAGACACCTGTGAAAAAGGCTGCAGTGTCAAAGAAGACTCCTGTACCTAAAAAAGTATCAACGAAAAGGTGCTGTCATGACTGCAACCGCTGCTGCCGCTGCCCTACCAGCACTACTTCCTGCTATAGTTTATCGATAATGCGGTCAATCACACCTCTCACTCATGTCCAGGCATACCTTCACACTGCAAACACAGCCATTTATAAGCAATAGCATACCGTGCTTGATCCCGGCATAGCATACCTCAAAGCAAAGGAGCTGCATGCTCAGACAACCCTAGCTCTAAACCAGGCCGAGTTCTATGCCCTCAAAATGCGCCTGCAGGACTTCACTATCATTCATAAGCATGCAACATTAAAGGCTGATAGGCTGCTTTGCCGTACTACAGAGCTCACACTAATAGATATAGTATAAGCACTGGATGATGGCCCCAGTCTTCCTCAGTACTTTAATGCAACTACAAAAAGATGCTAGATGTAAATTCTTAATAGTAACAATGAAAGGCTTAATGTAAAATAATAATAGCAAACAAAAAAAAGAAGGATATGTGTAATAGGGACTATACTCAGCAGACCATAACAAAGGTTCTAGAAGGAATAAGAGCAAGGAGCATAGGAAAAAGAAGGAGATAATAATAATAGGGTGTAACCTGCTAAATAAGCAAAAAAAAACTGCTGCTATAAAGAAGGCTTTTATATTAAGAAAGATTCCTATAGCCAAAAGGTATTAGCTAAATTCACCCCTGTCAGCAGTACCACTTTCTAGTTACTCTTATATTAAGCAGATGTCGTGTGAATGTATGCACATGTTTGGCATTAGCTTTGATAATTGATTTGCTCTACACTTTTATTTTTGGGGTTACTGCTGTTAAAGTCCTAAATTGGTGAGCAACGCTGTAAAATGTGACCAATCCCAATTGGGATGCAAAGCTGTAAGTGATGTCTTGCACTCAGTACTGTAAACAAGTTATATCTAAGGTTATCTACAAGTAGATATTCTCAAATCACCCACAAATTGAGAAATAAGTACACACAGTTTAGTGACTTGGGTTGCACTTAACATATAATAGCAACAGATATTTAAGAAGGCCATTAAGTATCTATATGCCATTCTGTAGTTAGTGGCAATGTTCTTAATTTAGAAATTCATGTTCAAAGCTGGGGCGTAGCCCCAGCCCTGTCTAGTATGATTTATAAACAATACTTTTAAAGCTTTTAGGCCTCTAACATACATTTAAAAGCACCTTTACACTGTAGATATAGTGATTTACAAGCAACAGCAGGCCTTACTTGATAAAATTATATAGTTCTCAAGGAAGCTGAAGGCGTTAAAGGCATTAAAACTAAACATACTAACTATTGCATTAAGTACCTATAGCAAATGCTCAATATATCTATAAGTCTATAACAGCTATAAAGGCAGCCTATATGTTACATACTACTAGTTAATAACATTATCATAACTTATAAAGGAGGTAACCTATTCTAGCTAGACAATAAGGCATTTACAGGTAAGTAAAATTATTTTCCTTCCTCCTCCTTTAATAAATGCTTAGGGCTAAACTTTTGTTTATAGTATATAAAAGAGATAGACAAATGTCTACTATTTCACTGTCAAGGGTGCTAAGACATTATTTGCTGAGTCTGTCTTAGTCTTTTTCCTTTCCAGCTCAATATAACCTCTTAACTAGATACCTTCTAAATAATACTGAACAACTCAACAACTCTATCTCTAATAAACTTTATCACCATACCAGCTTTATTATAAATTGCCAATACTTAATTGTAATTATTCCAGTCTTGTTGCCTCCCCAGTTCATCACTCCTGATGAGTATTCTGAGCGCCTCACCCAATGGGCTCATCTCGCTGACGTGCCATTGCCTGCATTCAGATGCTGTACATCAACGAGGATGCATTTACTGACCCTGCTTTGGGTCCCAGTCTTCAGGCAGTGGCGAACAGGTACCTCAGCAAGTACATCACTCATTCCCAATTTGCGTACGAGTAGCATGGGCCTGAGTATCCAGTAGAGTAGGCCATTACAATTAATAATTTGTTGCCATCATTTGGTTTTTAAGCCTAAGAGGGTGCCTGTCACCCTTGTGAAACTCTTCCTTTTGCACCGTCATCATGCCTGGCAATGCACGCCCAAAACAAGTGGTATGTCACTCCTTACGCCCCCATTCCTTTTCTCTCATGCAGGCATAGCGGCTGAGCAATGTGATGGATATCATCGACAACCCACAAGAGCGGGATGAAGGTGCGACTCCAAGTCAGCTAGAGGTGCATCACCGCATCCATTATCTCCCCTTACTGACCTTGCTCTGTCTAGGAGTCTTCTTCCCTGACTAACAACTGGCCCCGCCGCTCTAGTACGACGATGACAAAAAAAGTGCCCGTTTTAGATTCTGGACAGCGATGACGACGAGGCTGCGACAACATCCCAAAAGGGAAAACAGAAGACTATAATTCTCCTAGTATCGGGGCCTAAGTCCAGGTGTGACAAAACAGTATGTTTGTCATATAGAGTAACATGGGTGACATTCAACCTAAAAAGGAATTTTTTCTACGCAAGTAGTGAAAAGGTGACTAGTAGTCACATAACATAAATGAGAACCGGTAGTTATGTATATCATATAAATGAAAATTGAATTATGAACAACTATTATGTTACTACAACATGCAGTTATATGCATGATCAATTTCCAAAAAAGGATATTTTACTCTTAAAGAATACAATCATTGCAGAATGTCACATATTGTCACAAAAATCAACAACTTTCATTAAGTAACCTATAGTGGCGGCTTAATAGTTGTCTCAACAATGGCTAATCACTAGCTGATGTATAACTGAAGAAATGATATTAAAATGACTCGAATAGCTGCAGAGTTGATTTAAGCAGTACTGAGGATACCTAGATAGTAAGATTCATATCCTGGCCAATTTAATATTATTTGTTAATCTATGCTACCTAATGATTATCCATCAGGCATACTGATCCAGCCATATCTCCACCAATTCTGTATAAATTGAGAAAATTGTTATACTAGTAGGTAGCCAGCTATCTAGGCTTGAGATCTCCCAATGTAATCAATGTTCTATACTGTGAAATTATGATATTACACCGCTTTTCTCTAGTTTTTATGTTTCAAATTTGATCCAGCACAATGATCCCTTGATATCTTGCTAAGGAATCAATAGATAACTATAATCTAAGTTGTATCATGCTCTAATAAACGTACCCCATCGCTTGGTAAGACACAGTTATT